TGGAAGAGAAATTCAGCTGTTTCATGTGGGTACCAAAAGAAAAAGGAAGAATGGAAAGTAAGAAGACAAACACTATATTGAATATCAGCATGAACTTAGGAGTGATCAAAACCCCCAGAAGATGCAATAGACGATCCTGGAAAGAAGGGAGTTCCTTCCAAGGAACTGAATGTGTCACATAGACCTTTGGTTCTCTGTTGGGGATGTTGAAACTTCTAATGAGATGGTAGCTAGAACAACTGTTAAATGCTAATGCTAGTGCTTACGGATTTTATTATCAAATCCATTAGTGTAAAATCATTGTCCACTTAGAGACCTATTTTTATGGTACGATCCTTAAGTAACTCCTTGGTGACTCCTTCTCCCGCTTCTTCCTCCCCAGGGACAGAAAGCTTGAAGAACTAAATGTTTAGAACCTTAGTACTAATCAGCTTTGCTACTAGCTGTCTAATATAGAGAGAATCATTCAACTTCTTGCTGATTAATTTTCATCATATTTAAAAAGTGGATCCTTTTGCTTCACCTACCTCATGTGGACCTTAATTATGGAAGGTTATCTTAGGTGTAAGGGTGGTACAGAAAACTGGAACTGTGCAATATAACCTATGAAGTAGGCACGTTCTGATCACCTGATACATTCAATCTCCAATTTCTCCATCACATCTCTCATTCCTCAATTTTGTTGCTGATGCATCTTATAATCTAGAGTCTTACTTCCTTGTTTGGTTCATTTATTTGACACATCTTTGTTGTGTTAGACAATGTAAGAGTTACTATGCAAGTCTTTGATGGAAAGCAAATTGACAAAGAGGAACAATTTCAAGGTGTATATCATCAAACAGTGATATTCTACCAACACACAAATAATGTACCCTACCAATTCACAAATAATGTACCCTATCCACATACAAATAATGTATCAGAAGGCAAGGTTTGTGAAGGTATTCAGAGCAATGGATATTAGAAAAGCACCGTATTCTTGTTATTCTTATTCCATTAGGACTTTCACTTATTTTTATTTTTTGCACTAGATGTAAAGCCAAGTAAATCACATGTAAAGCAAGCACTCTACCACAGAGCCTGGGTCTCAGCCCATTTCTATTCCAAACTCTACTAGACACTAGTAGAAGCTTGTTTTCTTCAGGACTATACATTTTTGTATCAGTGCTGTGAATAACCAAATGGTCAAAAATTCACTTTTGAATTCCTTTGCATTGGCCTTTTGACAAAGGTATGATTTTCCTTATATTAGAGGGAAAAAAACCTTAGCAAGATCAGATACTAGAAAAAAATAGTTACGTAAGGCAGAACCTCACCACAGTAACTATCTAAAGTTTCAGTGAAAAAAAAAACCAAGGTTTTATTTTTTCAGAGTTATTTAAGTTTATCTTTTTAGATTCTTAATAATGACCACTAAATAGGAAGGTTTCATTATCATAGGGTCAGCCTAAGGTCCATTTATGTTCAGAAATGCTGAAGTTAGTAGACAACAGAGAAATAGCAAATACTAGGTAAGTTACAACAGACTACACAAACTCCACTTGATACTATAGTTAAGACTTAGCTTTGTGTGATGCAGTTATTAGCTTGTTTAGATAACAATTGTTTAAACAATCTAGAGAAGTAAAATATTTTTCTAATGTTTAGTATGTTACAGGTTTAAGCATTTTTCATGGATTATTTCACTTAAGGTTCTTATAATGTATGTTTTATAAATACAGAAAGTGAATATTAGAGTGATCAAGAAAAATTCCCAAGGTTACACGGTGAAATCAGTATTAGAATTAGGGACTGTTTAAAGTAGTACTGTATAAAGAAGGAAATAAGTGCTATTTATAAAGATATTTATACAATATATGTAATACTTGTTGGACATACATATTAACAGAAGCATGCACATTTATTCAACAGAATTATTTCATATGCTTATAATTATGTTGATAATTACAACATAAAAAAAACTGGAAGAAGGCCATGAAAAGGAGGAGTATGCTAACCATGAAGGGTCATCCAGTGATTGTTCTTCAAATATGAAAACATGAAAGGAAAAATGCAGACCTGCTATATGCCATTTTATTCATGGAATCAATAGTTGTTTTATTTTAATAACCTTACATTATACAACTTAAATAAACTTTGAAAGATTTTATCTTTCCAATTCATACCTTCAATTTTTGAGTATTTAAAATTTCTTAATATTCATCCGTAAGTGTGACAATAAAAAATATAAAAGGTATTTATCAAATGGTTAAATGCTATATTAAATTTCATTCTAAGCCTCCTTTTCTTACTTAGTGGTGAGTTCCTATCTATCATACTGGAGACTGAAATTCTATTCCATTGCTTCTCCTAGGAGCAGACAATTTTCCTTTCCCAGAATCTGGCATACACAAGTACCTAGTACATAGATCCCACTCAACAAATCACCTGCAAAAAAACAGAGAATGATGGCTTATATTGACACATAATGCCACCAAACTATAACTTTAAAAAATATAATTATCCAAATCTAAAGGCTTCATGAAGTCCCCAATTATTTTTCAGCAGCAGAAATGACTAGCAATGAGGATTTTCTATGCAATTTTTTTTAAAGCTCTTAGCATCTTGTGCTGTCAGAGGAACAGAAAACTTGAGGACATGTGTTACTACATACAGAGTCGAAAGAACATATCAAAACTCTCATTTCATTCTTTTTAAATCTGTCTTCTTCATTTAGCTTTTACAAGTGCATACTTTATAATAATAATAAATATCTCTATGCAGAAATGCATTTAAAAACATATACACATATATGTTTATATATGCATAAATATCCATACTGCTTAGGGTATATGTTCAAAAATTTACTGATAGCAAAATATTTTTTTATGATCTGAAAGTTTGAAGACTAGCTCTCAATAAATCTGTTCAGCTCGGTGTATCTCTACAATTATGACAAAATATTTGCAATCTAAAATAAATAAAGAATATTTTCCTATTGTTGGGTTAGCAGTAAAGAAGAGAGTTGTCTGCTGTGTTGCATTTTTGCATATAAATATACTAGCAAATAATTCAAAACACTTCACTCAGCATATAAGTATAGAACATTGTATTGCTTTTTCATTCCTCTTCAAAAAGAAGAACAGTGAAACCTTGGGAAAGCTTTCCTGGTTTTTCCTTCACCCACCTCTATACCCTGACGTTTGTTGTTTTAAAAAAAACCAAAAACTTGTCAAGTTACTAAAACCTGCATCTGGTATTAAAACTCCTGGATTTAAGTTCTTTTCATATCAGTATTATTTAAAAGCAGAGTAGGTTAAATTTGTCCCTGTCTCAGTTCTCTTATGTGTAAATTACTTAGCATCAACCTCATAGCAACCTGTGTGGATGAAGAACACTCGGTTCTTTTTGTAACTAAATGTAAAGCATCGTGAATATAACCTTTACATTATTAGTTTAAAATGCTGTGGTTTTAAATGTTTTCCTCATTAAAAACTTATTTTCCTTTATAAAAAAAGAAACACTTCTAAATACAGATGTTTTAGAAACTTCAAAAACTTTTTTCTCTGTGTCTATCTTTTCCATTCACACACAAGATACACAGATGCACACTAGCTTGATAACCTTATGTCTTCGAGAGAAAAGTACTTAAGATGGCATCAAAGAAATAAATAGTGACTTGAAGTAAATTCTTTTATTCAGCTTTATTCCTTTAAGTTTTAAAGCATCTAGGCCCTGAAACTATATGGCATCTTCAAAATGTTTGTTTTCAGAGTAACTCACAGACTCTTAAGTAGAAAGGAACATAAAGAAAACACTTAGGGTCTATGATAATGCCTAGCGTATAGCAGTCTAGTAGAATAAACCTTTTATGAAGGGATTCTGGGGGAAGAATCTTATTTTAATCTTAAAACATTAAGAAACCCCAAACCAACTCTGAGCATTAAAAAGACCAAGTCTGTTGCTCAGATTGTTCACCTAGTTCAAGATTTGGGTATAGGATGTATTCATTTTGATACCAATTTTGTTATTTTTTTCCCCTCAAGTGACCTGTTGACTCTCTTATATAGGAGTATCAAGCACTGTCTTCCAAAAATGAGGCAAAAGTTAAGAAAAAAATTTTTTAAAAAATCAACAACGAGGAAAAGAATAGCCCTTAGGTTCACTATCTCCAAAAATCAGAGATGTGACGTTTACATGTGATGTACAAAATGTAAACAGAAAATGTGCGAAATTTAAATCTTGTATGGCATTCAGTCAAAAGGTGTATTTTTAAGAGGAAAGGGTCAATAGCCAATCTTCCATGATTTATTCTACCTCATAGTACTTTTGCATGCCCGTACAGGTGATCTGTGGCTCTCGGATCAGCTAAAAGTAGATTGGCTATTTCAGCAAAATGTTCATCTGTGTTTCTGTGTATTGGGTATCGATTCCTATGAATTTACCTATGAACGAGGCATCAAACAGCCTCACTGCATTACAGTCCCAATAAACTTATCTTGTACTATTTTGGCCTATGTGATAGCCAACCCATTGACAAAAGGAATCCAGGCTGATAACCGCCTTTCTTGGCCACTTGTTAGCCAGGTCGGGCTGTAAAATCTGAACACAATGCACGCCTCTTCCACGGGGCACCACACGGCAGCGATGAAAAAAAAAACCCCTCACTTCCATCTCCAGTGGAGTTGTAGTTTATCACTGTAAGCCTCCCAAGTGCAAAGGACAGCAGTTTCAAGCCTGGCAACTTGGTGCCGACAGGGTCTGCCCCTCTCACCCGACCCTGCTGGGCCTCGCTACCTGTCCTCTCCCGCTGTCTACAGGTCCCGAACATTAGAAAATCGAAAATGTGATGATCTTTGTGTGTCTCTGCAAAATGTGTGTATGTGTGCGTGTGTTTGGGTGTAACGGGCCTTCTGTTTGGCCGCGCGGGCTGTCTGTCACGGCGCGGGCCAATAGCAGGCTGCCTTATATAAAATGAGTGTTTTCAGGCTCTCCGGGTTGCATGTACTGTATGTGGAGCAGCAGCGTACAGTGAAGCGGAGGCAGAGCGGCTCCGCGAGCTCCTCTCCACTTTCCCATAGAGCCAGCCCGACTGGCCGGCGAGGGCGAGCCACACACACGCCCTCGCGCCCGGCGAGCCCGCGAGGTAAGCGCCCCCCGTGTGCAGCCCCTGCCGGGGCGCTCTCCCGGCACTTTCTGTTTTCCTACTCACTTGCGAGCCGCCGGGCTGCAGCCCCAAGGACTCCGCGGCAGGAGCAGCGGTGGCGACGGCGGCGGCGGCGGCGGCGGCGGCGGCAGCCGGTAGGGTGGACTTGAGGAAGACGGAGGGAACCCCGCGCGTCCGGAGACCCCGGCGGCCGGCCCGCGCCCGGGGCACTTTCCCCCCGGGCGCAAAGTTTGGGCGGCGAGAGGTCGGGGGCGAGGGTCGCGGCGGGCGCGCCGGCGGGGGGCGGGGGGCAGTGCCCGGCGGGCGGGCGGGCGGGCGGGCGGGAGGCTGGGGGCCGGGCTGGGGAGTAGTAGGCCAGCCGGTGCCAGGCTGCGTTTGCAAGCGGCACCTCTCGGCGCACGGGCAGCGCCGCCCGAGGGGGGCACGCGAGCCGGGGCGCGGGCAGGAGCAGCCCGAGGAAAACAACAACAGAGCCCTCACGCCGGCGGGCGGCTCGTGGCCGCCCGGGGAGCCCCAAACTTCATCGCGGGGAAAGTACGTGGAGCCCCGGCGGGGCTCGGCGGGGCGGGGAGGTGGGGCCTGGGGAGCCCGGGGCTGGGGAGGAGGAAGGTACGGGGAGGCAGCCCTCCGTGGATCGCTTCAACGTTCCGTGTGCGGCGGGGACCGGGCACCGCAGCCCAGTTGCTCGTTCATCTGGAGAGTTGCGATCCGGGGGTTCCGGCCCCGCAGCCCGCTGCCCTGTCCCCCCCCGCCCCGAACCGAACCGCCGCGAGTCGGGAAAGTGCGGTTTTAGGGCCAGAGTAGCCGGGAGGAAGAATAGGGGGAGAGGGGGGAAGAGGGCGACGGAGAAGGGGAGAGAGAAGAGGGAGGGAAAGCGCGGGGGGGGGGGGTGGAGTGGGGGGAGGAGTGAGAGGGAGAGAGCGAGAGCGAGCGAGCGAGCGAGAGCGAGGGAGCGAGAGATAGCTGGAGAACGGGAGGGAAGAGAGGAGGGCGAGGAGGAGGAGGAGGAGGAGGAGGGAGGCTGTGTCAGGATTTTGCCTGAATGTGGGATTATGTTGTGTCAATAAGTTTAAGGTGGAGGGAGCGAGGCTGGGGGTGGCGGTGGCGGGGAGGAGGAAGGCCTTGGCCGTTCAAAGTCTTATTCTGAAGGTAAGTTACGGCATTGCCGGGTCGCGATGACTGAAAACTTGCAGATCCTTTATCCGAAGATGGGGTCGATGCCTCCAGAAAGAGCTCCCCAGCCCTCTTGGGCCACACTCGTGTTACACTGTTATTTGCTGCGATCCCGGTCGCTAGTAAATTACAGAAATCAGACGCGGGGTTTCTTTTCCTCCTCCACCTTCTCTCTCTCTCTCTCTCTCTCTCTCTCTCTCTCTCTCTCTCTCTCTCTCTCGCTCACTCTCAGGGAAAAAAATGTATTATAATTAAAAAAAATGGGGGGGGAGGCGATATTGTGCGAAACTTAACTGAGACCAACCCGGAGTCCTGTCCATGTAGAAGGACCCCGAATCCAAGAATCTGGAACACGTTTCTGTGTGAGAGATCCGCGATCGTTTCTGCTCAATGAGGAAGGTAAAACGAAACGATGCAAAAAGCGAAGACACAACATGTACGACAGAGGGGAGGGCGGGGGGGAGAGGGAGAGACGGAGAGAGACGCTATTTTTTGCTTTCCTTTCTGTAGAGAGGAAAATAAAGCATGCATTCCCCTCCCCTCCCGGTGTGTAGGGTCTAGTCAATATTTTAACTGTCTGAGGGCAAATTAGTCCCGGTGGATCTTGTTGAAAAGTTTCGCAAGGTGGGGTGGGGGGGTTGGTGCGAAGGGGAAGGTGGGTGGAGGTGGTGGGGGATGGGAACGGAGCGAGCTCTGCCTCAGCTAATGGTCATTGGCCTGGGGCTTTGAAACCATTGCCTGTCCTGCTAATGACACGTCCAGTTCCCCTCTCCCCGCGGCGGACGCCGGTCTGCGGGGGACTGGGGGACTTTCCCCGCGCGGGGAGGGGAGTTCTTCGCCATCCCTGGGTGTGGGGGGGGTACCCACTCGCGGCGTGGGCCCTCCGTGCGCGGCGCCACCGCCTCTGCTCGCGCGACTTTTGTGGTCAGCCTGCAGCGAGAGGGCGCGGGGGTCCCCCGGCACGGACGTCCCCGCGCGGCCACCCCGCGCCCCGGCCCCACGCGCGCCGCGCGGTCCAAGCCGGGAAAGGCAGCGCCGGGCAGGGCGGCCGTGCCTCCCCGGGGGGCGGCAGAGGCAGCGGCGGTGGCGGCGGGATCTTAGCCGGGGCCCGCGGGAGGAGGAGGTGGAGGAGGAGGAGGAGGACGAGGAGGAGGAGGAGGACGAGGAGGAGGAGGAGGACGAGGAGAGGGAGGAGGGAGGACGGGAAGGAGGAGGAAGAGGAGGAGAGGGAGGCGTTTTCAGCTCCGACCGCCGCCAGTTCGAGCGGGCACGGGGACGGGGACACCCCACTCGTTGCTCCTCCATTCTGGAAAGGTGTTGAGCAGACTTTTACTCCCGGAGTGTGGGATTTACACTTCATTTTTTTTTTCTTCAACCCCCCACCCCCCACTCTCCCCCAAAGCAAGATGGACTCTATTCCCTTTCTCTTTCTCCCCGGTGCCTCTGTCTTGTCAGCCTCTAAGATCGACATTTTGTACTAAGATGCAAACTTGATGGTGACCAGCAACAAAGCCGGGGTGGGATCCCTTCCTCCCTTCCTCCCTCCCTCGCGGTCTCCTCGCTGTTCCCCCCCACCCCGACCTCGAGGACCTGGTAACCCTGCGCTGGCCGCCGGGGGCTCTGGCGAGTGTTTCCCCGTTCGGTTCGGAGCTCCAATCTCGGGATTGTGACCGGTGGCCGAGCGTTTGGGCCAAGGCAGTGGCCGCCCGGGTCTCTGAGGCTGAGGGCTGCGCTACCTGGACCCACTCCTGTCACCATGCTCCCTCTGGCCACCTCCTGGGCACCGGAGGAGACTCGGGCAACCCAGCGATGGCTTGGATTGGGTTATTGGTGTATTTGTGTTGGGGGCGGCGATCACTTGTGCAAGTTGACGAATGATCGCACGGTGGCTTTGGGGTTTGCAGAATGGATCAACTTTCTGCTTTGTACATACGGGAAACGGAGCAAGAGTGCCGGAGACACCCTGGAATGCCAGCAGGGCTACCCCAGCCTCTGCCCTTTGAATTCGCTGCGGGGGTGGGGGGGTGGCAGCGGCTTTTTTTTTTTTTTGCCATCCCTAATTTACAGTCCTGGAGTGAGGGTTAGGGGTAGGTGGAGGAAAAAGGCTTGGTAGGGAGCTGGACGTCTGGGATTTAGGGGTGTCTTCATAGCAATGTATTTCTGGTGATGTTACTATTGTGAAGCTCTACCGTACTGATGATGTACCTTTATTTGATACTCTATAGGTCCCTATCATATGACAAAGGCTTTGCCGCAGTCCATCCTCAACCCTGTGTACTTTCCTTTGCCTTCCTGGGTAAGTATGTAAACTTACAGAGAAGCTGGATGGCAATTAGTAATGACATAAGTGTCCTTCTTTTTCACACAAGATGATGCTTTGTTGGGGTTTCAGCACCCTAGAAAGCTTGTTTCACTGACTAATCCTCAGCAGAAGTCATTTCATGATGCTTAGTATTCAGAATTCAGCTGTGATTTTTATTATTTTAAAATAGTTGAATGTTTGTTTTACGTTTATCTGAGTGTCATTTGAAAACTTTTTTCCAAAAAAGTAATTTTAATTGATAATGACATTTTACAGACTTGAAGACCTGTGATGTTTTATGTTATATGATATTATAGAAGGATTATACTCTGGGAGAAAAGAATTATTAAAAATCCAAGGAACCTTTGTGCAGAAGGACTTTCTAATTAGAGGGACTGACATTTGCTTACCCTTACTTTGCCTCTCTTTCTTGAGTAACTTGTATTGGTTTTGGAGGGGAAGAGTGGATTAGACGGTATAATAAATCTAATCTGTAGTGCAACAGTTTGATTTAGTGGGAAATTACTGTCCACCTTTATTATTTTCTTCAAATTTACACATTTGGAGAAATTATATAAATCGTAGCAGCCAGTAAATAAAGTAAACTGATTTTCAGATTCATTTCAGTGCCTTTTCACTTAATAGGCTCACAACTAAATTCAGTGAAGCAATGTGTTGGACAGAAAGTCCTTGAAAAGTTTGTGAGAAGTAACTATTTAGATGAAAACACAGGGTCTGTAGAACATCTGAAGGCAGCATGGTGAGCTCAAAATGCAGAAAACATGAATTTATCTATCCATTGTGAGGAAATCTGGTATTCTAAGTTGCTGATATAGTAAGAAAACTCTACTAAAATGTGGTACTTTGTAGTATTACTGTAGTGAAGATGGAGAATGTATTTTGTGAATGAAAATAGATGGGAACTCTTTTCCATAAAAGAAGAAGGAACTTGTCTATTTTGTTTCCTTGCTTGCTGGGATATTTTGTACATTACCAGACCTTTCTAGTAGCTTCCATATGGTAGTAAAATATACTTTGACACTGCTAAGGATTTTAGATTAAATATTATATGATTACTGCATTAAAGATTATTTTTGTGAAATGTAAATATCACTTTCAGTTGGAGATTCAGTAGTACCTCACGAACATGCAGATCGAGTGGAGTGATCAAAATGAGTTGGTTTGGTAAGATGAATATAGTGTACACCAATACATGTGGATTTCAGTCTGATTTTTTTTAACGCTTGTAAGAGAAGTTTTTCATTTTTTGAACATATGGCAAGAACATTCAGAATGCATTCCTGATTAGTAAGAACACCACATTTATACATGTGAGGCACATTATTTTGTTCACTGGAGCAAACTTTTAATGTTAGTTTTTTCCCCCCATGGAAATATATTTGATCAATTCTAATTTAAGAAGAGAATCAGTAATTTTCAGAATAAAAGTGATCTTATGAATGCTTGCATTTCTTTGGAATATCAAATAACTTCATTAAAACAATATTTTCAAGGAGAGTTTGGTCTTTGAAGTCAAACTAGTTTGAATAGTATAAAACTTGCCATAGTGATCTGAAAGAAAGGTCACCCTGACAATGAATTACCTGTTATTTCATATAAAAATATATTTACTAGTTTTGAGGCTTAATTATCAAGATAAAAAATCAAAGAAGTTTTGTTTCTATATTGCCAGGAGTTTCCAAACTTCCCATTTTTAGAATTTTTGTATATCCTGAAGTTCTGAAATGTTTGTCTTAATTTGTGTTGAAAAGCGGTTCCCATATCCAGTTTATCTTGATCTTAGCAATCAAAATTTGAAATAAGTTTTGGATTTAAGAGTTTGTAAAATCGTCTGGCAGGTGCGAATGTATAGCTGGTAGGGCATTTGCCGTGCCCACTGCCAACCCGGGTTCGATCCCTGCCATCCCATATGGTCTCCTGAGAATGGACAAGAGTAATTCTTCATTGCAGAGCCTAAAGTAACCCCTGAGCATTATAGGGTTTCAGCCACCCCCTGAAAAATGAGTTTGTAAGATACTCTGTGCTATACAGCTTGAATGTGTACACTACTTTTGACTATGTGTACTTGTACTTTTTTCTTAATCCATTGAAAGAGAGATTTGTTTATACACTGAATTTAGAATATAACTTGGAGTGAAAGCTAAGGTGAACATATAATTATGGTTTGCTTGTGCTTTAAGTATGTAATTGATAAGGTTTTTTTTTTTCTATATAGTAAAAGCAGGTCTAAAATACTGTGGCACAACTCACAAAAATCTAACTTTGCGAAGTATTCATAATGTTATTTTTCAATAACATTATGAATAGTTTTTAATAATCATTAGACAACATGTAAAATTTATACTTTCCTGTATTACATAATGAGCATGAGTAAAGCTTTATTTTTAACTGGAAATTGCTGTGAATATCAATGACCTCTAGTAGTAGAAATCTTGAATTGTGTTAACACCTCAACCTTATTCTAAAAACTTTTGAAAGTAGTCTTTGTAGAGAGCTGTTTTTGCTGCTTTAAAGGAGGTCTCAGAAATGGTTCTTATATCCAGATTTTACAGTTTAAGCAATTAATTTTCACATTTAGCATCATCACAAGTGTGGCATACTTATGTTTTCAGATTTAAATTTAAGTAGATTCTTCTTCTTGTTTTTTTTTTTTTTTTTTTGGTCACACCTGGCGATGCAGAGGGGTTACTCCTGGCTTTGCACTCAGGAATTACTCCTGCCAGTTCTCAGGGATCATTTGGGATGCTGAGGATCAAACCCGGTCGGCTGTGTGCAAGGCAAACGCTCTACCTTCTATACAATCACTCCAGCCCAAATTTAAGTAGATTCTTAAGAAGATTTTTTTCCCCTTAAATTGTAGTTTATTACTTCTTTTTTTTTTTTTTTTGAACATTTTACCACCGGGGCACCTTTTAAAACAAGTCTGAGTAGTATCTCTCATATATTTATAGTCATCTTTCTTCTCAAATACAAATTATATTTTGAAAAAAACATTGTAAAATTTTTGCTTTGTTTTTATCACATACCCCGGGTAAATGGGATGCAGGTGGTTTTTAGGCTCTCCTTTGAGAAACGTGGCTCCGAAGGAAGTAAGGGCTGAGGCTGGAATGGAGGTTCTCCCAGTGTGAAGATTCTGTGACTGTAATTCACTCAGTGGGTTTGTACTAACTCAAGGGCAGTCATCACATACTGTGTCAAATTGTAGAGATTTCTACGTTTTCAGTTATACTGAAGAAAGTACTTTAGAAGTACAGCTTCACTCAGTAGTATTCATATATGTTCATATTGTCCCTTCAAAGGCAATTACAGTTCCTTGAAATGCCAGGACATTTTAAAACTATAAAGATCTACTCAGAAAATCCTCATGTATTAATGAGGGTCATTTTTTCCCCTCCAAAGCCGTAGATAAGATGAGAATAGAAATAAGTACCAGTTACATAGTAGAAATGCAGAAGAGAAACCAGTGAGTAGTTCTATATGAAAGTATATATAAATAGGGAAAACGAAAGACTAATGACATGGAAGAAGACATAGAGGATTAAATATAGACTATAAAGTATTGACACACTTATCAAAATATAAACTTATTAAGTTAAAATATGTGAGTCTGTTCAAGAATCTACATAGATAACTTTAGGATGTGTGGAGATATAGAACATAGAATGTAAAATATAAGGAATTGGGCTGTATGAAGTCTTTGTAAAATAAAAATTATTGCAAAATGTAATTAAATACTTATACCCATAGTATAACATGGTCCTTGGGTGAAAAGATCAGGTAATAGAAGTTCTTCAAATGGACATAGGATTTTGTAGTTTAGGCAATGAGAATAATGAAAGATAATATATTTCAAAGGAATAATAGAAATAAGGATACTATTCTTCAAAGCAGCAGTGTTTCGCAAATGTTTTAATTGAGCTATTTGGTTAGAAATACCTCTTATATTCCAGTCTACATGTAACTAAAAAAAATTTTTCTAACAGTGTTGAAAATAGTGTTGTATGGTGTTTTTCAGTTTAATATTTACGAATTTGTTTTCCAATTTTTTTTTATTAAAAAAAAAAACAGGCAACATCCCTATGTGTCAATCACTGAATTGACTTTATGACTTATAGTTGAGAAACACCAGACTAGAGTGCTTATCTAATGTGGAGGTCCCATGCTTCATTCTAGATATCCCCAGATACTCTCATTCAGTGTGTCTGAGGTGGCAGCCCGGAGCCTACACTTTAATTAAACTTCAGGTGAGAGTAAAGCAGGGAGAAGTTCTCTGACACAGATAGATGTCTAAATGTTGAACAGGGGTCACACACTGAATGTGGGGTTAGAATTCATTGAATAAAGTCTCTCGCATCTTCAGGATTCTGAGGTTGCCTTGTATGATTATTTGCAATACAGATGGTTCCTGACCTGTGTGATTTTCTGACATCATGAAGTCAATAGTACTTCAAATTTTGTGATCTTCTCAGACAAGTGGTATCTGATATCTTACTCTGTTAGGATGCTGGGCGGTGGCAGCAACTGTCAACTCCTCAGTTAAGACCATGATTATGAAGGTCAGAAAATGATGCTGTACAGCAGTGGTGTTCAACCTCAGTGCTGGTCCAGAGTTTTGAAACAGTTAGAAACTGCTGCTCTGCAGAGTACTGTGTTGCCAGTGATTTTTTTTAATATTGTTTAATACATTTAACATCCCATTTTGTCTTTTTTTTCTTTTTTAGTACAGTATCAATAAGTTGAATGAGATACCATTTAACATTTATAAGTAGGCTTTGAATTATATGACTATGTCCAAATGTAGGGTTATAGAAGTGTTTTAAAACTGTTTAAGGTAGGCTAAGCTGTAATGCTTGATAGTTTAAGAGTATTAAATGAATTTTTAGCCTACTGCATTTCCAACCTACAATAATTTTTTTCTGGACATAACCCATGGAAAGTTGTGGAAGATCTGCACTGAGGTGGTGCTTATTACC